AACACTGGCAGGTCAGAAGTAATACAAAGCCAACCATAGCCACCCTGAATGCTTCGAATGAAGTATTACAAGTGTCTAGGAAAAAAATCTCAATTATTCTTAAGTAAATGTTTGGTTCTAAAGTCATCCTTCTGCAGATAACACAAAAACAAATGGTTCAGCAATATCTATCTATCTATCTGTCTATCTATCTGTCTATCTATATCTATCCATCCATCTATCTCTATATTATACCCCACCCACCCACCATGCACACACCTGTCACTAAAAAGTAATATGCAGCAATTTTCAAAGTAATTTAAAGCAAAATCAATCAAGCTCTAGTCAAATTAAAGTGTTCAAGTAACAAGCACCTGGCTAGGGTCAGACTGATCAGCCACTGCCAAAGAAACTTACCACCACTAAGCTATTAAAAGGATATATGAAGTCCAAATTTTAGTTACTGAACTGTCCGAAAGCAAACTCTCCCCTCTCCCTTCACAGCTAGGTCTAAAGTTCTATTTCAGGGTCTCCCTACAGTGTTTCAAAGGTACTCATTTTAAAGATACATCAGCACATTCTTCAGTCAAGTCCTTTGGCTCCGAGAACACACTGCTGTTTTCAATTAGCATTGTCAGAAAGTGAAGTACCCTCTGGTCTTTTCACTGAAAATCAATTATGCAAAAAACAGTTTAGGTGGTCTAATTTAGCTGTGCCATATGTACAGTACAAGGTGTTCAACAGCTTTGATGAAGAATTGGCAAGGACTTTAGCCAGCTGTCTGAGGTCTTGGTGTTACACATGGAAGATGAATACTCATTCATTAAATTTTCTTTAATTTGTATACATAAAATTGCTCCCTTATATAATTATGAACTTTCCTCCTGCCCTTTCCAGTTGGACAAGTTTCAAATCCCTGCCACATCCCTTTACACAAGCCTCAATATTCTGCAAATTGCCACTCCACTAAAATAAAGGTCTCCTTACATGACTGTATTTTATATATTAGCTGGCATGTTTTTATCTCAGCATATTCTGAATATAGTCTTGTCTTCCTGGTAGAGGTGTGCAAGACCTGACTTTCCCCAGAGCTGTGCTTTCCAACCTGTTTTCTCCAAGTCCATTTTGCCTTCAAACGGTATAAATTGGAGTTTTTCTAACTTTGACCATAATGCACAAATGCATTTACTATTTCAACCCAGGTCACACACATGTAAAACTAGAATAAGTTTAATCCAAGACAAGTTTGCATTGTAAGGTATAGTGCACTCTGATTTCATATTCTACTGTACTTCATTTTTTAAAAAAGAAAATGCTGATCAATCCACTAAACTGACTTTATAGCCCACTAATGGGTCACATCAAAGCTGAAGGGAAATATCAATGGTGTAAACACTTCTGAATCTGTGTAAACAATCTGGAGTTTTGTCTTAATTCTTTCAGTAACTGGAGGGACTTACATAAGTCATTTCACTTAAGAACTTCAGTGCTTTAAGAGTGAAATAAGGGAGCTGAAATACTACTGGACTATAATAACTAGATTTACAATAACTAGACTTATAATAACTGGACTTACGAATGAAGGTTCTGGAACTGCAATCAACTTTACTTTTCTGAGACATTTAATTCTAGCAGTACTGTGCTAAGATAACCAGGTTATATTATAGCAAAGTTAAATACTTTAAATTCAACTGAGATAAATACTTGAATAAATAAGAATTATTTTGTTTCAAAGCTTTTCATCAAAATGAGAAGCAAAACACATCATTCTTCTTACATTAACAGTTTGTTTTCTTTTGGTATAGATAGAAGATACCTATAGGTTAAATAATTATTTGGAAAAAAGACCTAAGAGACCTGTTAGAACACTCACTAACCAATGAAGTATCATCAGGCAAATACGGACTCTACAAATTCACTGTTTCCCTTCTACACATTATTCTCTTTCTTTTTTAATTTTTTTCCTCTATTGATTTGAGAGAGAGAGGAAGTGAGAGGGAAAGAGAGATAGAAACATCAATGAGAGAGAACATGGACTGGCCGCCTCCTGCATGCCCCCCACTGGGGATTGGGCCCACAACCTGGGCATGTGTCCTGACTGGGAATCAAACCAGCGACCTCTTGGTGCATGGGTCGACGCTCAAACAGTGAGCCACACCGGCTGGACTACACATTATTCTTGAACCAAATGTTGTCTAGGTTGTTAACAAAAGGTAAACAGTAATACTCTAATATTTTATTTGAAAAAAAATAGACTTACATGGAAGAACTTCTAAAATGTTCAATGATTAATCTACATTTGTGAACTTTTTTTCCCCCAAGACAGAACATCTTAGCAGGAACTACTGTTCTAAATAAATTACCAAAGAGCAATTTTGTTTAACTCATTAGAATGACATGATAAAAGTACATGAAAAATTGTAGGTGATAGTTAATAGCAACTTGGTCCTTAGTATTTTTACTTTAACAATGACGTAACTGTTACAGGGGGACAAAGATATCTAAGACAGTTCTATAAAAAGTATTTTTTTAAAAACCTGATGTATATATTGGCATATTGATTTGTATAATTATGTTTTTATCTTAAAGGATCTAAACAATGATAACAGGGTTAACTCAGAGTCATTGTAGTAAATTGAGGATAAGAGAGAAAACTCGACTTTATACTCACTCTTGTGTTTTGTCTTTTTTTTTTTAAACAATAAAAATGTAGAACTTAAGTATTTTTTAAATAATCAGGTGCATATTATCCACTACAATTGTTTCTTAATAAACAGGAATAATAAAAATAAGCTGCCTTCCTGTAAACATGCCAGGGAACCCAAATGAAAAGTACCCTATTTGTGAGACCACAAAACAGGGACACACAATTTTCAGTGAGGAAGAACTTCAGAGGGCTTTGCAAGCATTAACAAGTGAGTTAAACCTGGTGATTATTTGTTCATCAATAGGCCAAAATATTGCAATACAAAAATATCTCAATGCATAAAATGCTATGATAGAAAGGTTTCTGAAATGAGGTGACCATCCCACTAAGATTAATGATCCCTCTCTGTTTTTCCACCTGGGATTTCTATTCCTAGGTTTGTTTTGAGGAAGATATAGTACTCTATAAATACTGTCCCATTTGTCTGTAAAAACATTTGTAAAGTGTCAAGGCAATGATTTATTTATTTACCTATATTCTGGATAAGTAAAATTAGTAGAACCTGCTACAATTTAGATTTGCTTTGAACCCTCTGAAGTGCTAATGGGCTAATCCAACTAAGTAACCAATTTTTTTAAAAGTTATTTCAATGCTATTGTGATTAAAAAATAAACTACAAAGGGAAAATCTGGATATCAAACACAATACTTGGATAACTAAATATGGTAGAAGTCCATTAAAAAATAAAACATTAAAAGTGTATTAGCTATGTATACACTATTACCAATCCAATATACTTATAAAAAAGTATCATCATAATTTTTAAAAGCTGATATTTTAGACCACAAAATTAACCCCCATCAACAAATACACACAAGTTTCCTTCCATTATTTAAGAACATATCTTCAGAAAAGACCAAATAGGGACTAAATCAATCTAAAATAATATGCGAGTGGCATAAGGGCTTATGATTAGTGATAACCCAAGAACCATCAAGACAGCATTTTTCAGTACCATCTTCAGGCTGAAACTGAGATTACAGGACAGCCTGGGTTCCACAAAAATAAAGGTGCAGCTTCTAAAAAGAATGGCTTAAAGTTCCAGAAAGTAGTTGTTTTGACTTTTACAACTTGAACTACCACAGAAGAGTCAAGTACTAACTTGAGGAGGATGAATACCTCAAATGTGAATATGCTTCATATGTTTTGATTCCTAGAATCAAACTAATTAGTTAATATTCTTCACAGAGTTCTCTCACAAGAGTTAAGGTAAAAGAAACAGGAAACCAGTAAGGTTCTCCATTTCCCTCCTGTGCAATCATGCAACAGGAACACAAAGAAAGTAAAAAGAGGGTCTGATAAAAGAGGGACAACTACTCTTCATGTCACTGCTCTGTGGAGGAGAGTGCTGTTCATTTTCCCAGGCAAGAACTAAGTTCCACCCCAGCTGAAGCTTCTACTCACCTGACCATATCCCACCACCTCTAGTGACGGAAGAAAGCATATTATTATTACTCCATGAGCAAGTAGCATGAAAAATAAGCAATAAAAGAATTAGAACCCCCTCCAAAGTTACTGATTGATGGAAAATAGAAAGAGCTAACCAGATTTCAATTGAATAAATGCTGCCAGCCTCAGATTTTCTGATAACTTAAGGTTTCTGAAAAATACTAAGTTCCTCTAATAACACTTTTCTTAAATCACCAGTTTGATTTTTAAGATTAAAGTTCCATGGTTCCTAGGCAATAGAGTACCTTCAAGCTGCCCACCCCATTCCCGGAAAAGTCCCCATTTTTGACAACATTACTGATAGGAAAGCCAGTAAGGTCAGCACATTAAAAACAAGTCAGTCTCTGAAATGAGAAGCTATAATGAAATGCTGGGAATGAGGACGTACGACTGCACAACTCAAAGTGCCAGAACGAAATCTCTAAGAAGAGATCCATCGCAAGGCAGCGTGTTATGCCACGGGAGAAGGGACACACGCAAATGCCATCCAGCGTTTGTTTGGGAGGGAAGAACAGAAGCAGTCGTAGGCTGAGGCCAACCCCTACCCATCCGCCGTCACTACCAAAAAAGACTGGGGAAAAAGAGCAACACTGAGTAACAAAAAGATAAGACAGCATGGATTATTCAGTTAATGCTAAGGAGGAGCTTGGGACCCAATAATCAGCAAAGAGATCAGCCAGAGCTATTAGAAGAAGGTTTCCGCCCGCATGTTAAACCTCCATTCAGAGCCCCACTTGGCACCTGCCAGGCCACCACGTCCGGGGGCACTGGCAAGCACCCCCCCCCCTTCCTGCCCACGCCCGCCCCGCCGTCCCAGGGCCTCCGAGGCCAGGGTCCTCGGGCAGGGAGCGGAGCTCGGCAATACCAGGTGTAGTCGTCCTCGTCCTGCCAGGCGGCCAGGCTCTCCAGGTCCAGCGGTTCCACCTCGTCCAGCAGCGTGGGGGGCGGCGAGGGCGGTGCGGGGGATCCCCCCGGAGGTGTTCCCGCGCCCCCCGGCTCCGGCCCGCCGCCGCCCGCGCCGAAGAAGCCCGCGGCCGGCTTGAAGTAGACGAAAGGCGCCTCGGGGGGCTGCGCCAGGCTGCAGAGCAGGGGGGGCGCCGGGCTGGGCAGACAGTAGGTCCCCGGGAACGCGGGGCTGGTGCCGCCGCTGCCACCGCCGCCGCCACCAGCGCCCAGCGCCAGGCCGAGCCCCAGGCCCCCCGAGGCGGCGGCGGTGGCCGGGGGGCTCCGCGGACCCAAGGGGCTGCAGGCCCCAGCGGGGGGCGGCGCGGCAGGCTGCGGCGGCGGCAGCAGCAGCAGGTGCGGGGCGGCGGCCGCGCTGGCCGCCCGGCTCCGCAACTGCTCGTTCTGCTTCTCCAGCTTGCGCACCAGTTCCTGCAGCTTCTTCACCTCCAGCTCCGCGTTCACCACCGGCCCGGAGCCCGCTCCGGAGCCGCCCCCCGCCGAGGCGCATTTCACCTGCTCCGCCATCATCGTGAGCCCCCCGGGCGCTGCGGCCGCCGGGGGTGAGCACCGCCGTAGCGGCTCCTCTGGCCGCAGGGAGGTCTACGGTTCCTTTCCCGCTTTCCCTGCCTGGAGGGCCGACCACGCTGGCGCTGAGGCTGAGTCGGATGCTCGCATCAGCACCGGGCCCCAGCCTCGGGCCGAGGAAGCCACCGCCGACCAGCTCTGCACATGCTCAGAGCGTCTCTCCAGTCCCCTGGGCGCCGAGGCGGCTCCGGGTTTTAGCCGCGGCCCCGGGGCGGGGCGGGGCGCGGGCGCCGGGTGGGCGGGGCCTGGGCGGAGGACAGGCCTAGGGGTGCGTTACTTCCAAGGGGCGGGGTGGACGCCCCGCCCATGCTACCTAATCCCAGGTGCCTGATTGGACCTTGCCGGAACTTTCCCGCCATAGACACATCCTCCCACCCCTGTAGGGAGTGAGAATTTCGTGCACTGTAGAGCCAGGGGTCCGGTTCCAAAGGAGCCGCTGATGCAGGTGCGAGCCTTAGGGGAGTGCACCTAGCGCCCACTAGTTTACCTTCCAAGAACATTGTTAGGCTCAGTGACATTGTCTGCTAGCCACTGGCTAATGAAACCCGCGGAAAACCAAAGGACAAGGGAATGTTATTCTACGAACGAAAAGTAAATACAGAGAACAGAAAGGCTTTGAAACGATGCTCTCAATCCACTACTTGGTGATACAGAAACAAAATGGTGGGAGAGAGGAGGCCAAGGAGAAAACAGATATCCCCCTCACTAAGAGAGGGAGAGTGGCCAGCTGCTAAAGAGCCAAATGCTAACTTACATTTACTCCAAATTAATTTAATTTGAACTATTGAACTATTACCATCTGTGTTTGCCTCGATAAAACGCTCATTTTTTCATACTATATATATTCATATGTTCATTAAACAAAAGACTGAGCACCGAACTCTGTGCCTGACACCTTTCTGAGACTTGGCCATGCAAGCAGTGAATACAACGGATTGAAAGTCATTATGGGAGACACATGAGTAAAATTGTGTAGTGATCCACCTGTTAAATAATTAACAAGCTAGTAAGATCAGATCTACTGGGGGACAAAAGAAAAACAGAAAACCTCATAACTCTACCCCCAAACTCCTAATCTCACCTGCAAACCTGTTTCTTATATCTTGTGGAAAACATCAGTAAATCTGCTTTAAAATGGGGGTGGTGGGGGGAAGGGGCTTTAAGCAGAAGAATTGAATGAAGTTTTCCTCAATTACTGTTGAATTAGCATTTTAAACGTTTACCACAACCAGATGGAAGTATCAGACTTTATTCTGACAAAAAAACAAACAACTGGTTCTCATCCTGTGATACACATCAGGTTGGGCTGGGCTCAGGGACTTTGCATATCAATCTTCAAGACAATGTACAGAATAGCTCTGGAACTGCAAACACACTTACCAGTTGGTTTTAGATATGGCTCAGTGCCTACCAGCTCAGAAACACTTGTGTCTTCTCAGTTGTCAGTCTATACCTCTAACTTCTGTGTGAAGCGGGTGTTCTGTACTTAACTTGCTTGGTGAGAGCTTCAATAAATTAGATAAGCAAGTGTGATAACTACCCCCAAACTTTCCTCCCAGCTTGCTAGACCACCACCTAACCACCTGTATCACCCATCACCTTTCCAAGTTTCGGTTTAACTTCTGGATATTCTGGTTATGACTAAAACCTGGAGAAGTGGAATAAGACTACAGAAAAGTCCTAAGTAAAGAATCTATTGAAGGATTTTTTTCCGCATGCTCAGTGGCAGATGCGGGTAGCAGTATCCCTGCAACACAAAGAAAGGGAGACGACAGGCACAATGAGAACAAAGAGCTGCTGGGTTCCACATTAGAAAAGAAATTGGGTATAGGCACAGGCTAGTGAAGACAACAAGAATTAAGATGTAAAGAAAAGTAGTCACTTCGCTGCAAAATTTATACACTGTAGAGAAGGAGAGGAATAAACAGCCGGTTCCTCCCCCACTTACCCAATAGGGTCTATAGAATACATCCAAGCAACCAGTAGTCACGCTTTAGAACTGTGTTTTCAAAGTAACACTTATAAAAATCTTTGTTTCTTGAAAAGAAAGTATCCATTGAAATTTATACATAAAAGAGAGATGAAACATTCTGGCCTAAATTTCTGTTCTGCATTCTTCTGAAAAGACAGATTTGCCCTCTTTCTGTTTTAAAAGTGTGAACTGATTCATATCTAGAGAAATTTTAAATAATTTCTTTCCTTTCTATTAAAGCACCTCTTCTTTATCTCTTCTGTGAATTACACATGTACACACACCAAAGACACCCAAAATGGCACACAGAATGACTTTAAGTTGGTCTTCCCAGGATGCCAGTCTCTTTAACACATAATTTAAAAGGTTGATGGTGTCAAGGTTTGAATTAAGCAGTCTTGATTTTTTATGTTGATGCAAATGTGTAGGCTTTGTGTATTGAAAGAATTTCTATGCATAGTAGCTTAATTTTATTTAATTTTTTATTTTAAATGAGATACACAAGGTGATTTCAGAGGTTTACAAAGAAGATATGGGGGGGGGGGAGTACATGTCTCATTAAAAACTTCATGCTTTATGGATACATTTGAAATACCATAAGCTGATGAGAAACATCCATATGCCACACATTTTTTAGAGAGAAAGCAAATGTATTTTGATTTGTTGTTTTCACATATACTTCTAGTAGATGTATGGACATCAAATTGATGCAGCCACAGAACTGCAAAGCAGCGTCGTTTTTTCTTGAATTTGTAAATCTAATTCTCCAAGGAAATCTAGGAACAGCTTGTTATTATCCCAGTTTTATAGATGACCTAACAAGGGTAGATTACTTGTCCAAGTTCAGTCATGAGAATGATAGTTCTCAGAAGAGTTTCTAATGGCCCACCTACCCCTTTCCTATACCTTGGTCTTAGAGTACAGTTCCTCTAAGAGTAAGCCCCACGTGTTTGAAATGTAAATTTTCAATCAGTGCAGTGGGCATACCTTAATATGAGCACTACATTCATTCAAGTTGATAGATCCGATTACTGCCAGAGAAAATCACCTAATGTGTTAAACTGAGATCAAAGATCCCCAACTGTGTTTTCATGTTGATTCAGCCCATACTGCAGTATTTCTTTATTTGAGGGCATCTTGATGGAGCTTCCTGTTTATCCACACAGAATAGACTAGAACACTGCGGGTCCCCACTGTCCTTGTGTAGTGCCTAGCACAGTGTTTAGCACATAGCAAAGAAACATTAAAATTGATTTTTAAAGAATAAATGAATAAATAAATAAATCTCCAAGTTCTAGCTGAAATTAAGACAAGAACCTAATTATTTCCATAAACCTCATTTATCAACTTGTAACACACAGGGGGATCAGAAGGCTTTTTGCAGACCCCATAATTATCAATTATTTCTCATCTCACCCAATTAATAGCTTAAAAAATACTTGAATCTAATGTGCATATTTTTATGTAAAGGGATAATGCAGAGGGAAAACAAAAATATATGAAGCCGAAATTTTGCAAATACAGACATTCCTCATTTTATATGCTTCTCTTTATTGCACTCCACAGATGCTGCTTTTTTTTTTTTTTTTTTTTTTTTTTTTTACAAATTAAAGGCAAGACCCTACCAGCAAGAAGGTTGCATACATTTAGCTTCATTGTTGTGGTGTGGAACTGAACCTGCAATATCTCTGGGGTAAACCTCTAATCCTTGTGTGGGGTGCTCCATTCTGACCCCACCCAACTCTACCACTCCAGTTCATGCCAACAACCAATGTAATTATGCCCTGCAAAGTCACATAGTAGTATTTATAATAAGAAAAATAGTAATAATAATAGTAATAATTGTGTTTATGTGACAAGCTATACTTGTCAGAGCTCTTTATAATAAACAGTTATTACATGTCTGTTCAAATCACAATGGTAGCTGCTATTTTAGAAGTGAGTAAGAGTGTCTCCGCCACCAAGACCTTATCTAGGAGGAGAAAAAGAGCACATAAAAAAAAAAAACTAACTCTAGTACAAGACTTAGTGCGGTCAGCATCATGATGAAAATAACAGAACAGACTGACAGCTTGCAGAGGGGATGGGGTTGTGGGACTGGGCAGAAAAAGGTGAAGGGATTAAGCAAAAGAAAGAAAAAAGCAACAGACAATAGTATGATAGCCAGAGGGAAGGTAGGTGGGAGGAGGTGGACGAGGGCAAAGTGGGGATAAATGGTGGCAAAAAGAGACTTGACTTTGGATAGTGAGAGCACAATGCGGTGTGTAGATGTTGTGTTATAGAAATGCACACTTGGAACCTGTATGATTTTATTAACCAATGTCACCCCAATAAATTCAACTTTTAAAAAAAGAAAATACAAATCAGTGGCATAGAGAGTGCTCAAAAAAGAGCAATTGATTTTGGCTAATAATGTGGGGAAGACTTCATGTAGAAAGCATTATTTCATTTGGATCTTCTTACAAAGCTGCGAGGCAGAAGGGCAAGTATGATAGTCACTGTTAGACAGACTAGACTATATTAAAGCATCAATAGAACTGGGACACCGCATCCAGCTCTAGTTCCTAAGTTAGTATTATTGCCTCTGTGGTCAATTCACTTTGTTTTTATGAAGAGCTCTCATATCTAATATTCCCATTACAATAAAACTTTTTACAATTTATGTTAATAGTAGCTATTGATGCTCAGTAAATGCTAGCAATTATTCTAAGCCCTTTACTTGTATTAGCTTGTTCAATCATTGATCAACCTGTAGAGGTAGTTACTATTGTTATTCTTATTTTATAAATGAGGAAATTGAGGCAGAGAGGGGTCAAATAATCTGCCCAAAGTTACCTAGCCAGTAAGTGGCAGAGCTTGGATTCAGGGTTCAAGCTCATAAATTGCAATATCTCTTTTCTGGTCTTAGGCTGTACCCAGCAAAATATCTTCCTCTGGTCTTAGTAGCTTATCAATAAAAACTATTGACTAATGCAAAATCAATAGTCAGGAATGCCTGGAACAAAGTGTGATTCATTAGCAGGCAAATATTACTGAAACTTTAAAAGTCACCAAGCACATATTGGAAAACAGTAGGTTTCCAAGATCAACAAAGTTGCCAGGGCTGGTACAACCTTACAATGGCTATTCATTCAATATTTATTTCTGCTCAGGTAACAAAAGAGCATAAACCACCACTGCTTTGTTTTCCATTTCTAGCCATTTGGATTCTTCAAATGTCAACCTCTCTCACAACCCATGCCGGGCCTGAACAGATCCCCAAATGGCTTTGGAGGTATTTTAAAATTCAAAAATGTAATAAATAAATTCAGAAACTTTTTTCAAAATTTAAAACTTTTTTACCCAAAACAGATAAACATTTTTGAACAATAAGCATGTAAGATTCCTTAAACCATGCAGAATAACCTCATATTCAAAAGCATCTTTAATAAGTTTTTTAATTTCTTCAAAGAGAAAAGTGAATCTGGTATGACTTGAGTCCTGATAGCAAAAATTGGCAATTTAAACTACCATCACACTTGGTGTCCCCTAAATGTTTTATCATAAATGTCAATGTGGTAGAGTGCTCTTTCTTTGATTCAAAATAATTTTCTTTGATCCTTTCCAGAGCTTTTATAACACTCCCTTGCAAAAAAAAAAATTGCAATCACAATGGAGTGCTTACAAACAAAAGTCAGAAATCATCTGAAAGTCTGTATGGCACAACAGTGCAAAGAGCCCTCCTAGGATAGTGGACCCTTTAGTTCTCCTTCTAGGGACCAGCACAGCTGTGCGGCCATAACTGCTGGAATCGAAGTTCACGGCAGTGGAAGGCAGCGTACAGAAATAGTACAGTTTTCTCATGGGCAGATCATCACATTCTACAAGTTGTAAGCCAGCGAAATGGCTGCAAGTTTATTCAAAACAAATCATCAGTGAGTACCTAATCATAGTCTGTGCACATAATTAATTTTCAGAAAAGAATAATAATTATAACATAAAGCAGTGATCTGTGTTTCAACTATAAGAGCATGTTCTAGATCCTTACAGAAACTATGATTATAATGGTGTCACAAAAGAATTTGTCATAATGACAGATACGTTCTTATTTATCTTCAGAAATATTTTTGTTTATTTTCTGAAAGAAAGATGTGCATCAATTAGCAGGAAATAATTTTATTAAAGACATGGTTGCTTTCACCAAAACAGAATGCCAAAAGCTCCAAAGGTGAATGTACTCTGGTAACCAAGGGTAGAATGGGGGGATTAATGGCTGGGACAGTTTTTCAGCTTTGTAACTAGCTTAAAGCCTGTTTTCAGACACAGGGCTTTATTTGATTGTATTTTTAAGTACTTTTTATTAGTCTGTGGAAAACAGTGTCTGAAAGCTCCCAGATGCTACTAAAAAACTGGAAATAGAAAAAACAACAAATAATAAAACAAGATTTTAAAAGATCAGGCTCATTCGATGATTAGGCCAACAGCTTTCAACCTCAAGTCCCCCACACACCCCCAAAAAACTAAAATAATTTTGCTTGTGAAAGACAGAAATCCAGATAATAACTGTGGAAACCTAACTTGGAAATGAGGTGGTGGCAATCTGTCACCATGACGCTGTTGCAGTGCCCATGTGGACAAGCAGGAAGACTGGCGACCTCACTCAGGTACCTAGGCTACAGGAGGCTCCAACTCCATGCTTCCCTAATTGCCAAGGTAAGGACAAAGGATCTGGCCAACTGTTTACCAGTTTATAAAGTCCCTGCCTAAAACTGGCACAAAATTCCTTCCACTGATTTCATTGACCAAAGCAAGTCACTGGTTACACATAACTTCAAGGCAACAGTGTATGCACTTGTACCATATGACCAGAAGAACAAGACATATTTAGTGTAGGGACTGCCTACTAAATATTCTTCTATTTAAATTATTTCTGCTACTAAATAAAAGCTAAGATTTACTTTAAAGATTTTGGTTGATCCCCATAAATTTTGGAATCTCCTGCTTCTTGGTTGTTTGGCTGTAATTTTATTATTATTATATATTTGGTTCATTTGTAATTTTAAAAATATAATTTTATTTACTTGTGTGTATATATTTTTCATCATCTTTTACTACATAAATCTGATTCATTCAAATTTGATGAGACATCCTTCATGCCCTAGTACACTGTCAATATTTTAACATGTCCCATGTGTACCTGAATAGTATGTATATATTCTGTCTATTAAGTGTATGTTACATGCACACACATAATTTATATAAATAGAAATATGTAACACTTATCTAAATTTACAATATTTATAAAAATATGCATGTTTGAAACCATGTTGCATATATATGTTATTGAAATCTTGATTATCCCTGTATAGAGTTTATTCATTTTACTGAATTTTAAAAATTATCTTTTTCACATAATTTTTTATCTCTTTGGAATTATGCTCTTCCTTTTTGTATCTCCTTGATAACTCTAAACATACTAATCTTAAAGTCTTTTCAAGATGGCACATTTATTTTCATTTTGTCTAGGATGATTTCATTTCCCAATATTTTATATTTCTTGCTATCTTTTGTTGTAACCCAGGAGAGTCATCCTCACTCAGACATCAAGTAATTTTGAATATTAGGAACTTTATTACCTGCGCAGGGACTGCAGCCAACCTACACAGAGGAGAACTGCAGCCCCGAGCTCAGGGGGAGGGTTGCTTATATAGGACAGGGGTTACTCAAGAGTTTAGCAGAGCAAGCAAGCTACGTGTACAGAAGCAAATATCAGCAGTTAGTAGCTGTAAAAGTTGTTTATTTTATATTTCTTAACATTTACTAAGCCCTAGCCTTGAATGCCTCATCGTCCCGTCTGGCATCTCCTGATTAGTTAAGCTCATGGTCATGGCTGATCCATCTCTTCAAGAATTTTTGCAAAAACAACTTGGGCTCAAGGAACCCGGGAGAGGTTCCTTCTTCTAACAGATGGAGAATTACTGGGTTATAACACTTTCTTGGTGTTAATTTTGTTTGCATGTTTTGAACTTTTGGTTTTTAGATCACTTGCGTTGGTACAATCTTTCTTTTTCTCCCTCTTCCTCCTCTCTATTTAGAGATTTTTTGCTTGCCTCAGCCCAGCCCCAAAGACCCATAATCCAAAACCATTTCTTCTCTTGATTTTCTTATTCCACCATGATATTGGGAATAGTTTAAAGTCAAATGATAAATTAACTAGACTTGGTCATGAAGGTTGAGTCTGTCCCGGCATCTAACTTGTCTCTTGGACTCTCACAAGCTGCAGCTCAGGGCAGCACCTTTCTCTGCCTCTGCTCCCAGGGTGGGGGAAAGGAAGGTGGGGGCAGGGAGTGACTTGCGCTCCATCCCACTTCTCCAAGGCCCCGGGAAATTGTATCCCCTGTGTCTGCCACACAGGGACTGAGAAGGGCAGTCCTGTGGCTTCAGTCTCCCATTTCTCTTCAGTTCCTGGTCCACAAAAATGATTTTTTCCTTCCATTGCTATGTACTTGGATGTGGAGTCTGTGGGTAACTCAAGTGAACGTCATTTTAATATCTACACGTTTACCTATCTATTTAAAAACAAAACAAAACAAACGCTAAGTACATCGTACTCCCATCTCTGCACTTCCAGCTCCAGGTCCAGCAGCCCCTGCGCACCGTGCACGGTGCACCCTTCGTCAGCATGCCCATCCCTGTCAGAGAATCAGAGGAAGCTACGTGGTTTTAACTTCTCTCTTACGTGAAAACTAAAAGGTAAATTACATAAAACGTTTTCTCGTAAAAATGCAGGTGAGAAATTGTCGCTTTCATTCAGCTATAGTGATACGCTGTCTTGTACCCATCTGGGGGAGTCAATGGGGCAGAGGCTGCAGCTCACCTCCCTGCACAGCCCCCTAGGAAGCTTAGCCTCATTAACTCCTGTTCCCACATACTGGTCGTCAGCTGGGGACAGCTGACAAAGATGAGGCATTGGCTTGCAAAAGAAGAACACTTTAATATGAGTTGTAACCGATTTTGAAATCTAGGATAAATGATACTTTTAAAATAAACATCTCAGAATTACACTTGTGATGTTTTTCACCCCTTTTTTTTGGCAAAGAGTGAAATGGAGAAGATGAGGGAGGTTTACATTTGGATTTGTTTTAAATTTTAAAAAGCTGTTCTTTTAATTTACCATCTGCTACTTCATGCTTCAAAGTGGCTGTGGTAACCGGTCAGGGATACCAGACAGAACCATGGTATAATCTGGTATGGCTTGACCCCTGCTGTGCCTTTCTCATAGAGGGGACCAACTCATCTTGAGTCTTGTCACATTACAAGAGAGTTTCTCTGAAAATGTGTTAGCCCTCTGGTTAATGCACAGCAGAGACAAGAAGTTGTTATAGACATTCTTGTGACTCGTTTGAATTACCAGGTGGTAATTCTGAGCAGAAAGCTGTACCATCCTCCTTGGATGGCCTTCCACACATACAGTCATTCCTTCAGCACTTTTATACAGATCATAAATAACACCAAGTAAATGTGTTTAAGCATATAATTTATATTTGCTTAAGAAAGAATGGTCCATGCTGTCAGTTTTAGATACTGTCCCTTTCCTAGAGAACTTTTGAGTTGAAAAAATTTCTGAAAAGACACTGTTGATACTGGTGGTGATAAGGTGATTTTGAGACTGTATGTGTATCCTGTGGTGTAAAGCAGATAAGAGTTATGTTTGCTTCGCCGAGAACTGGTATTAATGACATGGGAGAAAAGAGATATCCACTAAGATGAACGAGTTTAACCTTATCATTCTGAACTGAATTGACTGGATTATCGGTGCAATCTCATACTTTTAGTGAGAACAAAAAAATCCTTTTTAGCACTATCCACTGAATTGGCCTAGAGATATTGACCAAAAATAGCAATGAATTACTCTAGTGCCTAGATTTTGGTTTTTAAATACCATTTTTCATAAAAAAGAGCCCAGGATTCTTGAATAAAGGGTACTGATCGCAGGACTAAGGCAGGAAGAAATGGACTAGATGAGCCTGGAACATTTTATCAAAGCTGTAAGATTGTGTCCAAAGGACTTGGAGCCAACAGAAATAAGTTCCCACTGTGTAAAAATTAGACTACTTAAGTGTCAGGAAGAAAAATAACTCCCACGGATTGAAACACATAAAATATGTTGAAATCTATTAGTTCAAAATGATACTGAAATGAATTGCTAAGCATAAAATGAAAGGCATATGTGCTTCAATGAAAGCACCCATGATCACTTAACATAGACTTCACACACACATACAATTACACACATACCGCCACACCACCACCCAACCTGAATCTGATTGAGTCTCTCAGCATAGAAATACAAGGGCCAAGAAACACGAATAAAGCAAAGCAAAACAAAAATACAAACTGCAGGAAATTATGAGACAAGTGACAGCTTCTTCTCTTTCCCCCTTCCTTCCCATTCTCTTCTTCTACAACAACAAAATTGCAAGTGGTGGGGGAGGAGGATAAAAGAGATGGAGAAATAATCTATAGATTACAAAAAACAAGAGCATCTTTAAAAAATGCAATGTACATAGCTTTTTGAATCATGGTTCAAACAGACTTAAATAAAGAGAGAATGTTTATACAAGAATTTGGGAAATGTATGCACTGCCTGGATATTTGAGATTAAAGAATTACATCTGATTGGGCAGATATATTGATACTGTGTTGTGTTATTTTAAATTTAAGCACTGTAAGTGCAATATAGCAAGCATATTATAATTTTTAAAAATTTTTATTTATTAATTTGTTTTTGTACAGATGTTTCTCATTTTTCCCCCATTGACACCCTCCTCCCCTTCCCCCCTACCTCATTCCCAGCTTTGTTGTCTATGTTCATTGGTCATGCATATGTGCATGTAAGTTCTGTGGTTTATCTCTTCCCCCACAAACCCTCTCCGCCTCTGAGACTCGTCAGCCTGTACCCCACCTCCATGTCTCTGGGTTAATTTTTTTCAGCAGTTTGTTTAGTTCATTATATTCCACAAATAAGTGAGATCGTGATATTTGTCTTTCTCTGCTTGGCTTGTTTCGCTTAACATACTCTCCAGGTCCTTCCATGCCATCTCAAAGGATAAAGGATCTTTCTTTCTTACAGCTGCATAGTATTCCATTGTGTACATGTACCACAGCTTTTTAATCCACTCATCTGCTGATGGACATTTGGGTTGTTTCCAGATCTTAGCTATTGTAAATAGTGCTGCTATGAACATGGGGGTACATATATTCTTTCTGATTGGTGTTTCAGGTTTCTTAGGGTATTTTCCCAGAAGTAGGATCACTGGGTCAAACAACAGTTCCATTTTTAACTTTTTGAGGTAACACCGTAGTGTTTTGCACAGTGGCTGCACCAGTCTGCATTTCCACCTGCAGTGTACTAGAGTTCCCTTTGCTCCACACCCTCACCAACACTTGTTTGATGATTTGTTGATGGCGACCATTCTGACAGGTGTGAGGTGATACCTCATTGTTATTTTAATTTACATCTCTCTGATGAGTAGTGATGTTGAGCATTTCTCCATATGTCTCTTGGCCATTTGTATGTCCTTTTTGGAGCGGTGTTTATTTAGGTCCTCTGCCCATTTTTTAATTGGGTTCTTTGTCTTCCTTCTGTTGAGTTGTATGAGCACTCTATATATTTTGGAGATTAACCCCATTATCTGATGCATCATTACCGATTATGGTCTTCCATATAGTGGGATCCCTTTCCATTTTGATGGTTGTTTCTTTTGCTGTGCAGAGCTTTTTAGTTTGATGTAGTCCCATGTGTTCATTTTTTTCCTTTGATTTTGTTGCCTTGGTATTGTATCAGTGAAAATTCTGCTGTGTATGATGTCTGAGATTTTGTTGCCTACATTTTTTTCTAGAATTTATATGGATTCATAAGTTACATTTAAGTATTTTATTCATTTTGAGTTTATTCTCATGTATGGTGTAAGTTGGTATTCTAGCTTCATTTTTTTTGCGGGTAGCTGTCCAATTTTCCCAACACCATTTATTGAAGAGCCTGTCTTGACTCCACTGTATGCTCTTGCCACCTTTGTCAAATATTAATTGAGCATATTGTCTTGGGTCAATTTCTGGGTTCTGTGTTCTGTTCCATTGATCTATTTGCCTGTTCTTGTGCCAGTACCAGGCTGTTTTGATTACAGTGGCTTTGTAGTATAACCTGAAATCTGGTAATATGATCCCTCCAACTTTGTTCTTCTTTTTCAAGATTGCTGTGGCTATTCGAGGTCTTTTTTGGTTCCATATGAACTTTTGAAGTATTTTTTCTAGTTCTGAGAAGTATGTCGTTGGTATTTTGATGGGGATTGCATTGAATCTATAGATTGCTTTGGATAGTATGAACATTTTAATGATGTTAATTCTTCCAATCCATACACAGGGTATTTGCTTCCACTTTTTTATATCTTTCTCTATTTCTTTTTTCAATGACCTGTAGTTTTCTGTGAAGAGGTCCTTTACTTCTTTGGTTAACTTTATTCCTAGGTATCTTAATTTTTTTGCCACGATGATAAATGGGATTGTCTTTTTAGTTTCTCTTTCTGTGAGTTCATCATTGGAGTATAAGACTGCCATCGATTTCTTGTTGTAAATTTTGTATCCTGCTATTTTGCCAAATTCATGTATTAAGTCTAGTAGATTTTTGATGGAGTCTTTAGGGTTTCCTATGTACCATATTATGTCATTTGCAAATGATGACAGTTTCACGTCCTCCTTCCTAATTTGGATGGATCCTCTGTATTTTTTCTTCATGTCTAATTGCTGTGGCTAAGTCTTCCAGTGCTATGTTAAATAAGAGTGACGAAAGTGGGCATCCCTGTCTTGTTCCCGTTCTTAAGGGGAATGCTTTTATTTTTTGCCCATTGAGTATGATGTTGGCTGTAGGTTTTCATGTATGGCCTTTATCATGTTGAGATATGATCCTTCTATTCCCACATTGCTGAGCGTTTGATCAAAAATGGGTGCTGGATTTTGTCGAATGCTTTTTCAGCATCTCTTGATATGATCATATGGTTTTTATCTTTCCTTTTGTTTATATGGCATATCACATTTATTGATTTGTGAATATTGTACTATTTTTGCATGCCTGGGATAAAACCCACTTGGTCATGATGAATAATTTTTTGATGTATTTCTGAATCCAATTTGCTAATATTTTGTTAAGGATTTTGGCATCTGTGTTCCTCAGGGATATTGGCCTATAGTTTTCTTTCTTTGTAGTGTCTTTATTCGGTTTTGGAATTAGGATTATGCCGGCCTCATAAAGTGAGTTTGGAAGTGTTCCGTCTTCTTGGATTTTTTGGAATAGTTTGAAAACAATGGGTATTAGTTCTTCTTTGAATGTTCGGTAAAACTCCCCCATGAAGCCATTTGGGCCTGGGCTTTTGTTTGCTGGGAGTTTCTTGTTTACATATTCAATTTCCTTTGTTGTTATTGGTCTGTTCAAGTTTTCTATCTCTTCTTGGTTCAGTTTTGGGAGGCTGTGTGTTTCTAGAAATTTGTCCATTTCTCCTAGATTGTCCAATTTGTTGGCATATAAGTGTTCATAGTATGTTTTGATGATCCTTTGTATTTCTGTGGTGTCAGTTGTTATTTCTCCTCTTTCATTTCTGATTTTGTTTATTTGGCTTCTCTCTTTTTGTTTCTTGGTGAGTCTAGCTAAGGGTCCATCAATCTTGTTTATCTTTTCAAAGAACC